TGCTTTATGACGTTAGGGCCACGTTTCTTCTTTAAAGGAAAAAAGAAAGCTACCGAATTGTGGTAGATGAGAGATGGTGGTATTAGGGATAGATGAAAAAGTCAAGTAAAATTACACACTTGTGTGTTTCAAGAGTGGTTCATTTGACATATGTGTTCCAGGTGAGGGGCAGGAGTGTACATCTGTGAAGGATGTAAAGCATGCTCTAATTGATGACTATTGAGTGGAGGCCTACTGAGCTATTGTGATTATTTTCAGAGAGTAAGACTTCTGTAATTGGAGCTATTTTTGGGGTATTTAGGAGAAGGTGTTTAACTTCAGCCTAAAGGGTCTGTTAGAATAAGACAGAATGGGAGGGGAAGTCGGGATAATGATACAAAATTGTGGATTTAAAAAAAAAATTACATATTGTCTCTTATTTTGACTTTTCCTTCTCTTTCAAAAGATTTTACTTGTAACAGTTCCTAATTGCTTCAAATAAATTGAGAAATGGAAAGAGAACTAAAGAGTGGCTTCTTATATAGTGGTAGACTGGAATTGCTGTTTAGTCAAATGACAGAACATCCCCTCCCCCCTTCACATGCTCTTAATTTATAATAAAATTTTTTCAGCAGCTATGGGTAGCAAAAGGATCAATTCAGGTGAAAGCTGAGTGTTTAGCCAGGATACATGAAAGTGTCTCTGTTTTTAACAACTCAAGAGAAAAGCCAACAATGGCAAGAGCAGATGTGTGGGTTCAGGCTGTAGGATGTAGGAACCTCCTCCTTCTTCTGAGCTTTAGAGCAGCAGCTTTTCTGTTTTTGTTTTGTTTATTTACTTCCTAAGAGGGTTTCAAGTAGAATTGAAGGCTATATGAAATCATAAGAACCTTGACCCTTCAACTTTTCTCTGGCCACCATGTGTGGGTGTGTTTAAACAGTTTTGAAATAGAATACTTAACTTTAAATTTTTTTAGAGCGAGTTTAGGTTAAAAAAAGAAAACATTTTATATTGCTCTTGAACCTCACTTTTTGAGTTTCTTGCCTTATTTTCCGTATATATTAATTATGTTATTTCAAATTAATATTTGAGTTGCTCGGAGTCTCAAGTCCAATACAATGATTGTAAAATTTTAAAGACTAGCTTAATACCCTTAGTTAAACCCTTAATTAGATTGAGCTGATCAGGAAGTTAGTTTCACTTTGGGTGATAAGCAGTTTCAACACTGCTATTTATTCTTTGCCTTCTTGTGCTTCTACCACTCCCCCAGAAGCAGATTCAAGATGAAACTCATTTCAGCATTTCTGTTCAAGTTAAGAACTGTACCTCTTCTTTGTTAAGACGTAAGTTTCTAAGAGCCTCACAAATGGCTGCTGTCTCCTAGTATGTCCATTTTTTGACTCCATTTGTGAAAAGTATGAAAATAGGAAATATTTATGCTATTTGTGTTTTGTTTCAATTTTATGTTCTTATGTGTAATTAGAGATTTGTCTGTTGTTACAGTAATTATACTTCTGATGAACCTGCTATTAAAATTCTACTGCATATTGCCAAAATAAATCCTCGTTTTATTATAATCTTACAGTACTTTTGAATATTGCTAAAACAGCATAAACTGAGTGTACCTCAGAAAAAGATCCCGTATACCATAAATGGGGACACTTCAGTTTGCAATACTAAGGGTTTTCCTTTAAGATTGATGCCATGTTGTTTTTAAGACATGATTTAGAAATGTTGTGGCAAACATCATAATGGGAACCCAACAATTGCACAAAGTAAGATATTCCTATAAGTGACTAATTGTAGTTCTCTGAAGAACATTTAAGAGACAGTTTTTGGTTTTGGATTGGTAATCTCTGTTTTCTGACTCTAATAGTTGTCATAAAAATAACCAATATTAGATGTTTTATCAGGCAGGGTAGGATCCTTGAAAATTGAAAGACAATATTTACTTATTCTCTCATTTTTTCAAGATGCCCATTCCCTCATAGCCTGATTAAAGAAAAAGTTTTCAAACTTGTACTTAACTCTGCCCCAATATGGAGGAGTAGCACTTGCTTCTCAAAAGTTTAGGAATGAAAGCAAGTATGTTGATTTTTGCAGTGAATTTATTGATAGAAACAATAATAATGATAGTAAAAACATTTAAGTGTCAGGTACTATCTAATTTTTTTCTTGTCAATTTCTAGTCCTATGAATTAAGCACTATGATTATCTCTATTTTTAAGGTAAGGAAATGTAGGTTCAGAGATGTTAAAAAGCTTTCTCAAGGTCACACAACTAGTCACAGAGCTTGAATCTAATACTAGCTGTTTGATTCAAAGTAAATATGTGTTTAACCATCAAGAAAAACATCCTTTCAGTGATGCCTTATAGCTAGGAGGAATGAGGAGATAAATGTCAACATGAAATGAGAGGTATGGAAATGAGTAAGTCCTTAAATGGAATAATTGTCTGGGTATAAACATATAGGGTAATAAAAAAAGGAGCTCTTGTAAAAGGGGAAGATAGTTTGTCTAAAGGTGAATATCAGTAAGTGGGGTAAATGACTATTCACTCAAACCCACATGGATAGAGAAGATGTGTACTTTTGGAACTGGTCTTTCATAGGTCAAGGTATAAAAATTCAGGTCTTAATACCATTTCATTTTAGGGAAACCATTTAGTGGGAATGCAATTCCCAAGTTGTCTGTCTATAGGAAGTAATTTCTACCTATTCACAACTGCTCATGCATGTCTTGACCCACTGTAATGCAGTAGTATACAGCATGGTTTTCTTTCTTGAGATTGCAATACTCTTTAAGTTCATATTTAATGGAAAAAGAATTAGTAAGCAAAGAGCTTATATGGCTTAATAAATTTCAATAACTTTTTTCTGATTTTTCCCCAGCTTTATTGAAATATAATAGACAATTAGTTGCTCATATTTACAATGTACAATTCAATGAGTTTTTTCAATTATAGTTGGCATACAATAATATATTAGTTTCAGTCGTATACCATAGTGATTAGAGCTCAAGTGATCACCCCACTAAGTCTAGTACTCTTCATCCCCCTTACGTATTTATTACATCGTTGACTATTTTCCTTATGCTATACTTCATATCTCCATGACTATTTTCTTACAAAATATGGTTATATTTCTTAATTCCTTTGCCTTTTTTCTCCATATACCCGATCCCCCTCCTGTCTAGTAGCCCTCAAAATGTTCTCTGTATCTATGAGTTTGTTTCCATTTTTGTTGTAATTTTTTAAATTTTGTTCTGTATATTCTGCATGTACATGAAATCACGTGGTATTTGTCTTTCTCTATCAGACTTACTTCATTTAGCACTATGCCCACTAGGCCCATCAAGGCAATATCTTTTTCTATCCCCTTCTTTTTAGTCTGTGTGTGTCTTTTAATCTGAAGTGAGTCTCTTATAGTCAGCATATGTAGGGGTCTTCTTTTCATTCAGCCAACCTATCTTTTGGTTGGAGCATTTATTTCTTTTCCATTTGAGGTAGTTGTTGATAGATATGTAGCTATTACCATTTTTATTCATGATTTTGATACATATTTTATTTCTTCTTAAAAAAGTCCCTCCAACATTTCCTGTAATACTGGCTTGGTGTTGATGAATTCCTTTAGCTTATATCTGTCTAGGAAGCTCTTTATTTGTTCTTCGATTCTAAATAATAGCTTTGCTGGGTAAAGTATTCTTGGTTGTAGATCCTGGGTTTTCATCACTTTGAATATTTTGTGTCAAGCCCTCTGTCCTGCATAGTTCTTTTGAGAAATCAACTGCCAGTCTTATGGGTGCTCCCTTGTAGGTAACTCACTGCTTTTCTCTTGCTGCTTTAAAGAGTCTCTCTTTGTATTTAACCTTTGGCACTTTAATTATGATATATTTTGGTGTGGGCCTCTTTGGGTTCGTCTTTTCTGGGACTCTTTGAGCTTCCTCGGGTTGTATGTCTAGTTCCTTCACCATATGAGGGAAGTTTGCCATCATTATTTCTTCAAATAGCTTTTTCGGTTCTTGTTCTCCCTCTTCTCCTTCAGGTACCCCTATTACTCGGATGTTTTTGCACTTAATTTTGTCCTAAAGACTCCTTAAATTATTATTATAGTCTTGGCTTCTTTTTTCTTGCCATTCTGATTAGGTGTCCCTGGCCTTCCCCATTCTCTATATCGGTGGTTTGATCCTCTTCTTCATTCACTCTGTTAATTCCCTCTAATATACTCCTCATCTCACATAATATATTCTTTATTTCCGACTGGTTACCTTTTATAATTTCCATTTCCATTTTTATGGTTTTTCTTCTCCTTGTTAAAGTTCTCACTGAATTCATCTACAGTTCTCCTAAGTTCATTGAGCATCTTAACCAGTGTTTTGAACTCTATATCTGTTAGATTGCTTGACTCCATTATTCCTGGATCTCTGTTTTGTTCTCTCATATGGTTTCTGTTTCTTTGTATTCCCATTTGGGCTGCCTTTCTATGTCTGTTTCTATATACTAATGAAAGCTCTTAAGGCTCCCGATCTTATTAGCATGGCTATATTTAGTAGGTGTCCAGAGGCACAGTCCTGAGAGGGGTTCAACAGCAGCCCAAGTTTAGCCCCAACCTGTGTCCCTCTGGGGCCACCTGCTAAGATTCAGCAATCAATCCACAGATGCTGTGCTTAATAGTTGCCTCAAGAAGCCATTCCAGAAGCCAAGGTCAGCTGCCACCAGTATGGGTCTTGGAGCTTGCTTAGTAAATTGCACCAAGGACACAACTGGATATGGCTTGGGTAGGGTCCTGAGTTGGGGGAGGCAGAGTTTCAGGGAATCCTCTGGGCGGAGTGACCTGCGTTATCCAGTTTGATGATGCATCAGCTATGGCGGGGCTGAGTCTGCA